GAACTGAAAGCTGTTGACGAGTGAGTCAGTATGAGATTTAGTTTAGCCATGATATAATTGCCCAATGTATCGATATCGGTTTTCTTAAAGATTAATAAACACACCTTACTGACCTGACTGCGGGTTATAGTTAAAAAAAAAAAAAAATAGATATGTTGGTTATATACATATAAACTTTTAGAATGTTTTGTTTTTAGAGAACTTTGATATTTTTTTAGGCATTTAAGTAATTGAAGCAACTTGATTTATAAGGTAAACTTGGTTGTTTTTTAAGTTTGTTGTAGTATCAAGAAATATATTAATTTGTATTGACCTGGTTATAAGTTATGTAAAATAGATATTGATTTTTTTTTTTTGACTATAAATTAGTTTATAGATTTTTTTTTTCTTCTAAAAATTTTAAGAAAAGAAAGTAAAAGAAAATTAATAAAGCAATGTTATTTCTTTTCTTAATATTTTTAAATAACTTGTTGTATATATGTTGAAAGTACTTGATAACTTGGTTTAAAAAATATGTTGTTTTCTTATATATTTGAACTGGTTCACTTTTTTCAAGAAAATTATCAAAAAAGAGAATTAATAGAAAGAGTTTTTTATATTATTATATAAATAATATCAAATGATTTATATTATAAATATAAATGATTTTTTTTGTAAATTTAATAAATTCTATTCAATTTTTAATAAATTATTAATTATTTTTTTTATCAAATTGTTAATAAATTATTAATAAATTTTTATTGTATTGTTAATAAATAATATTATAATAAATTTGTTGCAAATTATTTATAAATTGTTAATTAATTATATTATCAAATATTTTTTTTTTACTATTTATTGATAATTTATTGCTAAATTTTTAATTATCACTTTATTGTTGATATAGTAATATGTCAAATAACTATAATCAAAAAGGATTTGGCAATGTTTTTATTAATAAATTAATCCAATTCAACAATAATTCAGCTGTCAAATAATATAATTTGACTAGTATATTGTATTTGAAAATTTGAGAACTATATAGGCATTTTTAATTGAGCAAAAAAATGCAAGTGAATTTATAAAATTGATAAATATTCCGTTATATTAAAGAAAAAAAATTATGTCATAACAGACAAACATAGATTAATATTTTTAACCAATTAAATAAAATTATACACTCTCTAAATATATGTTTCTGCATTATTTCTTAAATATTCTCACACTTTCATTTTCGATTGTGCATATCTAGAAAGAGTTTATTATATATCTTGATAAGACATACCATCTGTATAAATATACGTATTATACAAGAAATATTTTAAAAGATTAGTTATATCTATATAATAATATATTTAAAAAAAAATTCAAAAAGTTATAGAAATACAAATTCCCAAATTTTTCGATTCATTATTAGTAGGGGTTTAACTTGGACATTGATTTAAAATTCTTTCATCCTTGCACTATCGATTAACAGAATGCAATCAATTCTTTAATAACTAAAGAGTTATCATCTTATCATAAGTTGTACGATTGTGGCTTTGAGAGGGTTCGTTTACTTAAATTAATAGTTTTTTGAAGGATTTAAGATAACGAATCTTCATTTGAATGCCAAGTAAAACCAAATAATTTTATTTGTTCAGTAAATTCGAGAGCATTTTTTCATTCTAGTGGTCGTTGTTTTTTACAAGGACGTTGGGTTGTCGATCTGTAATCCTTTTATAATAATTTAGTGAGTTCAACGGTTACTCGGCTGAGTGAAATTAATATTTAATTACACCAGATATTCACCTCTATTTCACCATCCACAATTCGTTCGTCTAAATTATTAGCGAATAACAAATAATATGTATACAAATTTACCAACAATTTAATGCAAGTATGATAAACCAAATTAAACACTTTGATTTACCATGGCATTTACGTTCTGAGTTATAAATTTGCTTTTCTTTAGAGCATTTTCTTGGTGTTAACACGTCCCACCGAAGAATCATGTCGGCAAGATTATGATCAGGTAGTTCAATAGCGATTTTATTCCAATTTATGAAGCCTTCAAAAGCAACTCCAAATGTCAAAATACGTTCATCATCTTCAGTCCATGGAGCATTCGTGGGTTTTACTTGTAGAGTTAAACGTTTACACCTAATTTTGCACCAATGTAATGCCAACTCCATCTGACTTCTATGTGGTAAAAGGCGTGCTATTTTCTCCCATTCCCTGTCTCCATGTAAAACTACCGCCACCTTAATAACCTCGTTTTCCGATTCAGTCCACGAGTTGGTCTTGGATATAACTGGTAAAAATTCCTTTTCAGCTGATAATCCACAAGGTCTGTTTGTTTCTGTCGTGCTTCCTGTTGTACAAAGAATTCTATTTATAACATTTGCATTCCTCGAGCTTTCATAAGTCGAAATTGGTGGACACCTTTTTCTCTTCTGAAGCTGTCGGTATCTAAGAGCCAAAGCATTAGGATTCCTCCTGGATCTAAAGATTCTTTTTGAGATGGACTCCCATTGTGTACCATACACTCTGACAGAATTAATGAGTAGATCTTCTTCCTTAACGGTCCAAAGCATTTTATTTCGTGATACAGACTTATTTTCATAGGCCAACGTCCTATGATTTTGATAATCAATTTCACAATCACTTGGTGTGGAGACACTTGACGTTGAGAAATCAGGCGTTGAGGTGGTTGAAGAATACGTGTCTGCCTTTTCTGGAATATTCGGTGATGTAATCGAAGACATTTTGATTCGAATTTTCTTCGTCTCGGAGAAATAATTATCTCTATTACTGCTCTCTTTTGTGATGACCTCTCGCGGTTCTATGACACCTAGCTTTGACCTGATACGCGTCCATTTTTCCGCTATGGTCAGTCCAGATCTTAAATTTGAAAAAGTAGTTTCAGAGATAAACCTCCAATCTTCTCCAAATACTCCAACAGCTTTGATCAGTTTATCAACTTCCGACTGTTTCCAGGGTTTATTTTCATCATCAAACAAAGGCATGACGAGATTATTTAACGAATTCTCGAATGTTTAAATTAAACACCTATCAATGTATAATAGAATAAGTCGGCATGATATTAAAGAAAAAACTGAAGGCTCAAAAATTAGAGTGCCGAGGAGATACCTGAAAAAGTGCGGGTCAGTAGCAAAATTCGATGATTTAAATGTAATCTACGCGTGGTGAGGTGATGTTACATTTTTATTTTCCCGGATATGGGTTATGATCTCGTGCAGTGTTAAGTACGGTGCATTTCAAACACAGCCTTGCAGATCTGCGTCAAAAGAAATAATTTTCATTCATGCGATTATATAGATTACATAATAATAACTTATGAATTTATGAAGCGCCAAGGAATGAGAAAACTTTTTAAGAGGAAACCATTTGTGAGTAATCCTGTTGACGACGAATCGAATTTGTTCATTCAAAAAGGGCTTCTATCTGTTATAAATAGTTAATTTACGTTCGCTAATATAGTATGCAGTTTTGTTTTTATGATTGCGTGAATCACTCGTCACATGACGACCTTACGTAATATCACGTATCTTTGGACTTTCAATTGATATTAAATCACTCACTTTATACAGTATAATACAGTATATAAAAAATTATTTCCTTTTTTTTTTTTTTTTTTTTTTTTTTTAACCCTCTGTTATAAAAAATTATTTCCTTTTAGCTCGAGAAACGAATTATGCTTAAAAGTATCAAGCAATTTTGTAATAATCGTACAAATAATACATATATATATTTTGTAATATTTGCAATCAGGTTAAATTGTTAGTTTATTAATCAAATGGATATATAAGTGTATTTTTATTCAAGTAGCATGATACATAATATAGCTAAACTTTTCTATATAAATCTGATTTTTTTTTTTTTTTTTTTTTTGTAGCAAAGCCATACTTTATTGATTTAATTGAAGTAACAAAAATTAAGGAAAAATTCCTAACTTGTACATTGGATCTAAGCTATATAGATGTTATCTGTCAATAAAAATGAACTTATTACAAGCTTTAATCATATAAAAAAAAGTATATAAGTTGGATTAAAGAACATAGTATAGCACTTTGTAATTGTAATTCATATTATTGTTACTTTATCATATTAAAGTTGACTGTTAATCTTTAAAAAAAAATTTTTTTTATTATTCAAAAAATTAAGTTTTTTACATAATAAATAACTTATTATTGTATTAAAGTATTTTTTTTTTTTTTTTTTTTTTTGAACTACAATTAGTATTAAATGCAAGCACTTTTATTAAGAATTAACTTAACATCTCGAATAATGAAATTCTTTGATATTGATATTAATCATCTCATACAAACTATATATATATACTGTATATATATATATATATATATATATATATTTTTAACTCACAGTCAGACCAATATGGCTTGTCTATAACTGTGATTAAAAACTAAACTATTTAAAATCTTTGGATATTTAAATATTTATTATATCTACTATATTGCTTTGAGACTTTATTTGTTCTGAGTCTTCTTTTTCTTTTGTCATATTTCTGGAAGTACAAATAGAGGAGTAATTGGCTTCCTTAAGGACTCGATCCATTTTTCTAGTTATATCAATTGTTACTTCAAGTCTTTTAAGTTTACTGATAATTTCTTGATTTTGTTCCCATTCGATAGTAATACTACAGCATTTGTTCCAGACTTCTTTCTTGAAGATCTTCCTCATTTTTTTACAAAATTTACCAATAGCCTCTTGTATTGTTGTTGCTGGAATCTTGAGGGCTTTGAAATGCTTTTTCAGGATCTTGGTCTTGTCTCTATATATAAAGTTACAAACTGTATTATATAAGCTTTCATCCTATTGTTTAATGTCCTGAATCTATTTCCCTATTACTCTTTTAACTTCTGCCTGACTTTCATCAGATAGATCTTTTGTTTTCCTGATATACTGAAGGATTTTACTTTGAGATTTGTCCCATATAATTGATCTTTCACTTTAAGTCTTGAGATATTCGAAAAGATGTTTCAGGGTTTCCTCTTGTAAATTGTACATTGAGTAAATTGTGCTTGAATATAAGTCTAGTTTTCTTTTCTGTATCACTTGAAGGGTAGGAAGCTTATCATGAGTTAGATTTACTAGGAAACTCTTGTCCTTGTTGATACTAAAGAAGGTGTAAAAGGTATTGTATGGATTAATTTGTCTCCAGAAAATTTGCCAGTCAATTTCTTTACTAGAATGTATCCATCGGTCTTGAATACATTTTTGCTCTATCCAAGCTAGTCCTATTTTTTTAGTATTCCATTTTTTAAGAAAATCTCTAATATTGATATCAATAGTATGTTCTCTTCAGACTACAATTGTGAAAACTTGACCCAGATCAGATGTTTGTTGTCAAGTCAAAGGATTTTCTCTTCTGGCCTGCTTTGCTAACCTATCTGCTATATTGTTGAACATATTGTTTTGATGGACCTTGATCTTTTCAAGTGTTAGGCAAAGGTTTTTCTTTTGTACTAGGTCCTTGATTCAGTTCCATAGTGGCCAGTTAGTTATTTTGGTTCATTTCCTTATGGAAATAAACTTTTGCAACTGAATTGTTCTCCATATCTTAATGGCTGCACTACAATCTGTATATATGGTTGCTTCTCCATTTTTAGATATTGTAAAGATTGTAGTAAGTATAGCTAGGATTTCTACTCTTGTAGCTGATGGCCATGATGTTGCTCCTGCTGAGAATTGATTGATTATTCTATTGTTCTCAATTTGAATCCATGCAAGACCCATTTCAAGTTCATCCTTGCTTTTTGTACATTGCTTGTAAGATCCA